TTTTAATTGATATTTGAAAATATTTATTGTTGAATCATTATTACTAGCATTATCAAAATTAATAGAAAGAAAACTTTATTTTTAGTTCTATAAGTATGTAAAGTATTTAATATATTTACAGCAATTGTTGGGCTAGTATTTGGCCATTCAAGTCTTGTAAAATTTAAAATTCTTTTTTTGTAAAAGCCAATGTTCATCAATAAAATGCCAGTAAAAGAAATATAACTAATATTATATTTGGAAGTTCAAATATCAGAAGTGCATTTTTAGAATTAAGAGTTGACAAAGTAGAAATTAAATTGTGTTGATATGAATAAAAAAAAATTTAAAGCATCTGTTTTAATTGTATTTCTAGAAACTTTTTGAAATCGGGGATTTACTAATTGTTCTAAAAATATTTCTAGCCTAGGGTCTTCAGCTAATTAAAACGGTTGTTCAGCATGCGCACTATATTTAGTTAATTCTTGTCACATTTTTTCTTGGGAATGTTGAAAATTACCGAAAATACCATGCACAATTTGTGATTGATTTTGACTATCTTTATATTTTATATGAGTGGCTATGTCTAGCCAAATGGCTAGTACCACCTTTGCTGCTATAACTAAAATCACTCTTACATTTAGTGTAGACAACTCATTTTCCCTTCCTCTCAACATTTTCTATAATAAATATTTTCTAGACTGGGCTAGACTGCTTAGACTTTTTCTTTCCCCTAGTAATAGCAAGGTTCAAAATTTCGCAATGTATTGGCCCATATTGGCCAATTATGTATCGTATTTTTTCATCATGTCGACCCCGTATCGGGTTGTATCGGAGTGTACCGGTTGATACAGTACAACTTTCCTATAGCCAAAAAACAAATTATAAACCTATGAGAAAAAAGGCTTCTCTCTCTGAAAACGTTATTTCTCTCCCAAACTCACCAAATCATCTCTACACATTCTTTGGTTGCAAGATCTTAAAAAAACCCAAAAACATCCAAAACTCAAGATTTTTTAAGTTTTTTCAACTTTTTCCAAAAATTACAAAAATAGGTATTTTTTTCAACTTATTTGATAATATGCTGCAAAATTTTGTATTTGTTTTTTGTTTTAATGCTTGGAAATGCTTCCATATGGATTGATATACTCTCCTTGTGTTGATAATCCTATATTTTTTATACTTTAAATTGATCTATGTAATTTAAAAAAATCAGAAAAATATAAAATAACAAAAATAAAATAAAATTTTAATATTTTTGGTGTAATCTACCCATAAAGAATAGTTGTGTCATAAATCTATGGGTTATTGGTGTTGTCGTATTGTGGTTGTACATCCTTGAAGCTGAACATGTTGGGAAATTGATTTTGAGAGGAACCAATCATTTAAAAAAAATTATAGTATTAAAACCCTAAAAAATGAAAATTAATTGCAACTTAGTTGGTCTACCGGTCTGGAATCCTAACTTGATTTCAATTGATAAAGCTTCTAAGCCTCCCAAATTGCTAACTTGGGGTACTTGAGCAAACCAACTTCTTGTTGAAACTTGAATAAAGTTGAGAATTAGAGACTAGGGAGCAATAGATTAAGAGAGTATGAGAGTGTGTATAACAGAGTATATGAGAGTATGAGAATTGGTTGATGAAATTGATGGAGGGTAAGGGTTTTTATAGGGGTTGGAATTAATTCAATTGAAAAATACCCTTAAACTAGCCATTTTATAGTTAGGGATCATTTTTGTCAATTTTCCTCCCCCCTAAAATAAAAACACACAAATACCTCCCTAACTTGTTGTTTATAGCTGTTAGGTGCATTTATTTATAAAACCCCCCAAAAAGCAAAAAATAGCCATTGGGGACCCCCAATGTGGGAGATTAGATCCAGTCCTCACAAAATGGTGCTCACACCGTACTTGCAACCACTTGCAATTGTGGATTGATAATATCTCCCTATGAATAAAAACTAAAAGTACGGAGATATTCCCAATACACAGTTGCAAGTGGATGCGAGGATGGTGTGAGCACCATTTTGTGAGGACTGAATCCAAGTTCAAGTCGCAGGCTCGTGCCAACATGGCCCATTTTCCTTGGCATGCTGGCCCTAGGCTTTAAAACACAAGCCCACACGACCCATATTGTGTCGGGCCATGCCAGCCTGTGGGCAGCATGGTCAACTTTACAGCTCTACATCAGGGGCAGTTGGGTGCACATCTGTTTGGTTTTGGTCTCTTGGGTCGTTTTGTAATAAAAGTCATCTTTTGAGGTTTGTTTGAAGATAGTTTTGTTCTTAAAGAATTGTTTATGAAAGGGAAACATTCTAGGGGATTGTGTAAATATTTTAATTGGTTTCTTATAAAAGAGAAGGTTGTTTTTGTAGGGGTCTTTGGTTCTTTCTCTCTTGTTTGAGTTGTAGCTCAGTGCCAACTAGGTTTCTCAAGTATTGGGAGTTTGAGTTTTGAGGAGGCAACCCATTTTGGCACCTTCCAATCCCTTAGAGAAGGTTGTTTTTGTAGGGGTCTTTGGTTCTTTCTCTTTTGTTTGAGTTGTAGCTCAGTGCCAACTAGGTTTCTCAAGTATTGGGAGTTTGAGTTTTGAGGAGGCAACCCATTTTGGCACCTTCCAATCCCTTTATCGCTGTGTGTTCGTCTGAGAGTCTAGCTTGATGCCATTGTTACTGTAGTGGAACTGTTCCAAGAATAGTTCTACTTCAGGTTCAGGTCTGAAATCCCTAAATTTCCAACTTGTTTTGTTGTTTTCAGCTTGGTATTTTTTTGTGCTAACTGTTGTACACTTGGAGTGCTGCATATAATTTGTTTTTCTATCCACATCATTTACCCAACCGAAATTTGCCTCTAATTCCTTTGCTATGCTCTTGATTTCTCTTATTAGATGCCTGAACATCCACACACCTGGACTACTATCATTCATCCAAGATATTACGAATTTTGAAACTCTCTCAATCTTCAGATTCTTGAAACCATGCTGCTTTGCTAGTTTTATTCCTTGGTGTAAGGCTGATGTTTTTGTTGCAGAATCCCCTACTCCAATCAGCCTAGAAAACAAAGTCACCACTTTCCCTATATCATCCCTAAGCACACCTCCAATTCCTGGCAGGCCTAGATTTCCTAGTGAGCTGCCGTCAAAATTTAACTTTATTCTATTAGAATGAAAGGGCTTCCATTCCATAATTAATTTTGATTGTTAAGATGTTTTTTATTCTTCTCAATTTTAAATTCACTTTTTGAAAGGTAAACATAAAAATTGCCACCTACGGGAATCAAACCCATGGCTACCTGGTTAATAGTAGCCATGTATTCTACCAGAAATGCAACGATATGTCCAGTCTAGTAGACAAAGATATAGCTTCCGTTGTGTGATGTTTCAAAAACCAAGGTCTGTGTTATTCATGATCCACTCAATAATTACATGGAAATCCCCTCTTGACCTCCAAATAGCTTAATGAAAGTTTTAGCCTTAGGTCCCACCTAGCATGTTCAGCTGTCTCACTCTTGGGTTCTTTCACTCTTCCATTTATGTAACCAGCTTTTCCTCTTGCTGTTACATAAAGTTGTACACTTTTAGCCCACTCCAGGTAGTTTAGGCCATTTAAAGGGGTAATTGGCATAGGAAACATCATGTTTTCACCTCCCACACCAGCTGTGCTACGGGTAGATGTAACCCCAGATGAAGCTGAATCATAGTTTTCCATTGAGGGAGTGGGTCTACACTACAGGAAACAGAATCACAAGTGTACCAGACCAGATCCCACACAACTACTATCTTTACAGCCACAATCAAAATGCTAAGCCCCCAAGAATTTTACTTCTGAAATGAGAAAGATACTGCTGAAATCAGTCCAGCAATAGTTCAGCCATTAGAGCAGTCCAGCAACCAGTCATTAAAACAGTCTACTAACAGTTCGACTACAGCACATGCCTGTGATTAAAAAAAACACATACCCCTGTCCAGTGCCTGTACGAAGGTGTAAACCCAAAAACAAGGCCTTCTCAGTATTGACCACAGAGAAAAAAAAGGGAACACATACCCTGTCCAGCACCTGTACAAAGGTGCAAACCCAGAAAACAATCTTCACAGCATCGATCAAAGAGAAGAGAAGTCTTTACAGCATCGCCCCTCTTCTACAAGGGTTTCCTTGGTGCTACGACCAAGGAAGAACCCAAAAAAAAGCAGCCACCAGTGGCCTGACCAGTCCGATTAGGTTTCTTTGTCTTCCACGTCCAAGAGATCAAGAGGAAAAAAAAAGGAACTGAGAAAGGACTTGATTCAGATGAGAGAAAAGGATCTTTATAGCCCAGAAGTATGCTCTGACACCATGTTTTCTTTCTTGGAGAGAGAGAGACGAGAGAGAAGAGAAGAGAAGAGAAGAGAAAGGAGAGAGAGAGAGAGAGATCCAATTGAGAGTCAAAAGTCTTTAGCTGGCGGCGCTCAGCTTGTTATTTATATTAACTTAATATAAAAAGATAGGAGATTACAAGTATGCCCCTAGCGGCACTCCCTAATAACAAGCAAATAAGAAAAAAAAAAGAAAGGAACTGGCTGACAGCATACCAACAACAACTGTAAAAGAACAAATAAATAACCCTCACAAAAAAAAATCAACTAGGGATAATTTTGGAAGAAAAAAGTTGAATAAGTGCTTATTGTATAAATTGTATAAGCGCTTAAAAAGAGCTGGAAATTTGGGCTTAAAAAGTAAGCCCTTATTTTTAAAATAAGCACTTATTTCAGGCTTATTTCCCAAATACCAATAAGTGCTTAATGGCCCAAATAAGCATTTATTTTGAATAAGCACTTATTTTTAAGCACTCCCAAACATGGCCCTAGTCTTGTATTATTATGATGGCTTGCAAGATTAATTTTGTAATCAATATCAATGATGTGTGGTCCTTGTTTGATGTTTTGATATGAATTTCCCTTGCTTCTGTAGACAAAACGATCAAAGATTTGCCATATTCCCTGTGTTATTTAAACAGGTCCTAACAACTGGATAAAAAATAACAGGAGCTACCGCAATAAAGTGGCCATCAGAAAATTTATCCCTTGGCCCATAGAGATTAGGTTCTGTGAACCAAATACTTCTACCAATCAGACTAAATCCCGACCAAGGTTAGTTCTGGTATTTTTTATTACTCTCATATACTGTTTCCAAGTGTATCAGTGATGAATCTTCAGAAGAAATCCAAGTTTTCCTTTTATATACACCATTTTCTTCAGTGAAAATTTAACTGTCTTGCAGCTTGAATTTCTGGTTTAGAGCAAGAGGGAAACTTTCACATGACCCAGCTTTGCATAGGTAAGGAAATGCATTTTTCAATTATCTTGGATTTTATGGCTGCATAAATTTGCATGCCATGAATCAGTTTTTGCATGCCAATATCAACATGTGGGCTGTTGTATCCACATCTATTCTATTCCAAATATTTGGGAGCTGTCTTTTTTATTTAATTTGTATTTCAAACTTAGAGTACGTTCACAGAATATGGTTTTTATTTTCTGATCTTGGATAATCATGTAACATCCCCTTGTTACCTTCTCTTCATATCATCTTAGTTTAAGACTGAATAATGTAAAACATTGTATCAAGTATCCTAGGAAGAAAAGAAAAATTGTGCCAGAAAGCAAGTCTCAGAGAAACTCACCATCTACAATAAGTGTTGGTTAGACATTGATTGCATTTTGATTGGGTCATATTTTCTGATGGCTTTGTGAAGGAATCATTATGTCCAGAAGGTCCTCTTATCCTTCTTACATATCTGAAATTCTTAATTAATGAAAGTTAATGTTACCAATCAAAATAGAAAAGAGATATTGGAACTTTGTTTCGGGGCTGCTTTGCTAAATGCCTAAATCTGATATTTGGAACCAGCTTTACTTTAAAGATTAGATTACCAAAACTTAGTCTCATATAAAGGTTGTAGTGGGTAGGGATGTGATGTAGGACCAGCTCAGTTCTAGTCCTTAGAGAATGTCAATGGTCTTCTTGGATCAGAATTTTATGGCTGTTGACAAGGTTTAAAGTGTCGATGTCGACGGAAATGTCGCTTACCAAAAGATAGGACATATGTCAGAAATGTCGAGGCGAAATATTGTAAAAATTAGAGACATTGTGGAAATATTATGAAATATGTGGAAATATGCAAAGATATTTTGTAAAATGATAAAAGAAGCATTAATACATATTTCTAGACTATTATCTTATTCCCAACCATTATATAAAGCTAAGAAACTAAGATCAACAAC